ATTGTAAGGAAAATCCATTCATCAATATATCATACGACCCTTGATTTTCAAGGTGCCGGAGCACCATCCTTGTTGTTCGTTCACTCACCCCATATATCATACGACCATCGCTCCCTGAGCAGCGCGCCGGAGCACCGCCCAAAACCCACCACCTACACCATCACTCAACGGCCTTGTAGTTCAGGCCGTGAACCTAACAGCCGAGACCAGTTCCTCTCTCGGCTACAATCGTTTGATTAGGAAGACGAGTTCAATCAGGCGCACCACTCAACCATCCAACACTCATCAATACATCGACGCACGGTAGACCGTGCTGGCACGCCCGCGCACAAACCGCACCGCACCCAAAAGCAGGAAACCGGGTGTTAACGCATATCCCCTCGGCCCGGAACTCCAGGCCGTGAGATTTGCGCGGCAGACAGAAGGATTTTGTTAAACATGAACAAGTTCTCAAAGACGAAGCAGAAGGGATAAAAAAGTGGAGGGAGGCTTTTGCTCAAGTAGGCAGCATCTCCGGATGGGATATAAAAGATAGGTAATTTTTTTCATTTGAAATTATTCCTTTGTCTCGTTTGATTTATCAGGTGTTATGTTCTAAGAATATTTGCTTTAGCTGTCTGAGTTTTGCAAGCTGGCAGAGGAAGGGTTCACATGAGAATGAACATCTCTACCAGAATATAATTAAAATGTTTAGGAGGTGCATTAATACATTTTTTTTATGTCAAGTTTTCTACCTTTCGGGAGGCAAAAAAGAGCCAGTCACCACCTTGTAGGGAAGACCCACCTTGTAGGGAATTCTGTAAACCATTCTTTCTCAAGTGAAAAAAAAACAAGGCAGACTTATCGCATATGAAGGACAGACACATAAATGTGATAGTTTCTCCTATCACATAAGGCTGAATGGCTTTGTAGTTCTCATATCATACTATATATATACTTACAATCTCCGATGCACCTTGGTTTTTGTTTACTTTTGATGGACTGGAATAAGTAAGACATTCATGTTCTACCCTTTTTGCAGGTACAAGGCAATAGTTATTGATGAAATAATCGAAAATATCTCAAGAAAATTGAATCACACATTCTCAACTAGTGATTTCAAGGACTTTGTTGGAATGGATCGTGTAAACAAAATTGAATTGTACATGAGTAGAGGGTTGGATGAACATGAAGCTACTGTGATCGGGATTTGTGGGATGTCGGGGATAGGTAAGACAACCATCGCACAAGTTCTTTTTGAAAGAATTCGTAATAAATTTGAAGCTAGCTGTTTCATCCATGATGTTAGAGAGATGTCTGAATGGAAAATTTTGCCTCTTGTGCTAAAGAAACTTTATGGTAACCTTTCCAATACCAAAGTAAGTGTAGAGGATGTTAATGGGGTAAGGAGTAGATTATTGAGTCACAAGAGGGTTCTTATCATTCTCGACGACATCGATAATTTAAAACAAATTGAAGCTATAGTTGGATGTGGTGCCAGAGGATTGTATGATCAGTTTGGTCAAGGCAGCAGAATCATTGTAACCACAAAAGATAAAAGCCTGCTAAAAGCATATGAGCCAAAAATACACATGGTTGGAAAACTTAACTTTGATGAAGCTCTCATACTTTTTTCTCGAAGAGCTTTTGGCAAAGACCCTCCTCTTGATGAGTATGTTGATTTGTCCAACCAGTTTGTAGATTACGTTGGTGGTCTTCCTTTGGCGCTTACAGTTTTTGGCTCCTTTCTATTCAGGAGAAGTTTGACTGAATGGTGTAGTGGACATATTAAAAAAGAATCTTGGTGAACAACTTCTTCATACATTGAGAGTAGGATTTGATGGATTAGCATCTTCGGACGAGAAGGATATATTTCTGGACATTGCATGCTTCTTTAAAGGAGAGAGTGTAAAGCGTGTGGAAAGGATATTTGAAAGCTGTGATTACTATCCGGATATAAGTATAAGAGTCCTCCTTGAGAATTCTTTACTTACGATTTTTGGAGGAAAGTTGTGGATGCATCATTTACTACAAGGAATGGGCAAGGATATTGTCCGCAAACAATCTCAGCAAGAGCTAGGAAAACGCAGCTGGTTGTGGCTTCATGAAGATACCATTGAAGTACTTTGCAAGAACGAGGTAATTGAAGCTTAGTACAATAATACACTCCTTAATTATTCATAACTTGTGACTCAACTTGTACTACTAATACTGTAAATATATAATTTCCATAAAACTAATCATTAAAAGCTTTTCAGAAACCAACATCTGAATCTAATGCCTAATTCGTTTCATATTCGCTTTAGCTTCTGACATATTTCATGTTCACTAGACTAGTGAGTAAATTTTTTTTTTTTAAAAAGTGAGTGAATACGAGCTTTTAGAGTCAACTATATAGATCACCCCCAAGCTGTTGCCCTATTTTTAGATCAATACATGAACTATAGATGATTTACAATCTTTCTTTCTATGTATTTGTAATTAGCTTCTACTTGGTATTAACGTGTTGTGATGAACTCGTTATTCCTAAATATTCTGTTTTTTTGTTAGAATATTAACATCAGGATGCAATAGTTCAAGTGTAGTATACGCGTATATCATGCACCTCACCTGATCATTCTGTTGACCTTTGGCTATTAGGGAACAAAATTTGTTGAAGGCATTTTCCTAAGCTTCCCTCAACAATATGACTATACGGACTTGACCACTGGTCCATTTGTGAGGATGTCCAACTTAAGATTGTTGAAGATCTTCAACGTCAATTTTTCTGGATGCCATGAATCTCTTTCAGATAAGCTACGGCTCTTGGATTGGTATGGATATCCTTTAAAATCGTTACTATCAAGTTTTAATCCGAAAAAACTGGTTGAACTGCACTTGCCTCAGAGCAGAATAGAAAATTTATGGAACGAAATTAGGGAGGTAAGACTCTCTTCCTTTATTACAAACGTGCATTTTTTATACAGAGCCGAAATTTATATTTCAAGTTCTTAGAGCTCAATATACATTTGTTAACGGTCCATACCACCACTATGAGCCGAGCCCACAAGAAGACGCCACGTGGCCTTGACAGACTGGGTCACCTAAACATACCGACCCAATCCTTAGAGCGGGATATGACAGAGTGGGGACTTGAACAATGATCGGAGGAATTTCCACCGACCCCATCATTGTGGCTCCCAATCCCAGAAACCAGTAGGGCATTGATGGAGCAGCCTGACAGAATGGAAAATCCAGAAAAAAAAATCCAGGCTCTTATCAACATGGCCCAACCCAAAACAAGGAAAGAGGTTCAGAGCCTGACGGGAATTGTAGCAGCATTAAACCGATTCATTTCCAAGGCCACTGACCGATGCCTTCCCTTCTTTAAAGCACTCAAAGGGAATAAAAAGATAGTCGACTAGACACCCGAGTGCGCGTTGGCATTTGCGTTTGATAGGTTGTTTTTATTTTTAGCCTCTGGTCGGCTCTGCTTACACCAACTACGCACATGCCCGTTCAACAAAAGTCAAAATCGTACAAGTCATTCATGTTAATTAAAAACCAAGCGCAAATAAAGTTCAAAACACGTTCACATTCACCGAGCCGACCAAAGGCTCGTCCAAATTGTTCAAAAATATTATTTACAGGGACATAAAACGTGTAAAATATAAACATTCCTAGCACTATCTGAAATGGGCATCACCACTTCATCACTTGGCACCTCGGGTGGTGGGATAGGATCGGTAGATGCCTGAGCAGTCTGACTTATGTTGTCACCACCCTAAGTCCCGGCCTCAATCTCCGCAACCACCACCTCAGCTTGGCCCTCGGTATCCTCAGCCTCGGAGAGAAAACCCCAATCCAAAGAAGGATACTTCTCCCCAACCCTCTCAATTAGGTCGAAGTATCCCTCGACTCGTTGAGCGGCAAGTTTCTCCTAGGACTCAGCCGACCCTAGGTAGTCCTTCACCGCATCATCATAACAGGACCGCAGCTCTGATGCAGAGGCTTCAATCTTTCGATTGGCCTTGTCCAGGCTTTTTTGTGTCCTGGACAGTTCTGTTGCTAGGCCATGCTTGTCCGCAGTAAGCTTATTCACCGACGACTGTAGCTCTGCATTCTTTTTCATCTCCGCCTCAAGACGACCCTGCGCGAGCTCTAAGTCCTCCTCCGCTTTTGACTTCTCACCAATCGTCCTCTTCAGCTCGGCTAGGGTCACAGCCTGCTCATCCCTTTTGCCTCGCTCAAACTCACAATGCGCAGCTACGTTTTAGGCCGCGATGAACAGCTTCATAGTTGCCTGCACAATGGACTCAGTAACTGTTGGCTGCGCAAATCTCACGGCCTGGGGTTCCGGGCCGAAGGGATATGCGTTAACACGTGGCTTCCTTCTTTTGGATGCGGTGCGGTTCTGCACGGGCGTGCCAGCACGGTCTACCGTGCGTCGAGATGGTGATGTAGATGAAATGGTTAACTGGTGCGCCTGTTTGGGTTCGACTCCTTATCAAACGACTGTGGCCGAGAGAGGAATAAGTAAAGATATTGAAAGTGCATTACAGGAAAATATAATTCGCTCCGTGGGAGTCTTTTGGTTTGGTGTTTGAACCCTTTGAATGTAGCTTGAACTTGGTATTTATAGGAAGAGCTCTTGGAGGAGTAATTGAGGCTGAAAATCTGCATGGTGGAGCCTGATCAGAGCAAGTGGGTAGTCCAATCGACATTTGTGATCGTGAAGCATGGTGGTGTGACCCCATGAATCCTGGTAAATCTCGGCTGCCGCCCTGATCGTGGGTTCTGCGCTTCTGGCCGTGGGGACGCATTAAATGTCCTGGTCTGGTGGTTGGTGATCTGACCTTATGTTGTAAGAATATTTGTAAGTATGTTTGCGCCTAACCACTCTGATCTCTGTCACCAAATCCTGACTTTAGTCACTTCCCTTCTTCCCTCGTGCATTAAATGCCCTTTTGCGGCTAGTAGGTTTGCTAGTCAGAGGCGTTACTTCGTTAAATGAAGCATGGGACCCAGCTGCCATGTGACGATTTGACTCTTAATATCTTCGGCCGTGTCCCCTTCGTCCTTCGACCTCGGCCTGATGATACCGTGGTTGTTAGGCCGAGATGAATATGCCTTCGCAACTTTTCCTTTGTTTTGAGAAAGGCAAAAGCGCCGCATTTTGGATCGCGAATAGGTGCTGAGGCTGAGGGGGAAAACCCCTTCGGTTAGTGTACGACCGTGATTTATCAGGCACAAAGATTGCCCCCACATCTCCGAATTCTTCGGTCTCGGCATGGGCAGAGGCCGAATGGATTTTCAGGGGATGGACCCTGTGCATTCCTTCTGAAGTGATTGACAACTGGGGTATTAAATGCGCAGGTCAGTCGGCGCATTTAATGCTCAAGCACGTCGTGCAGGCTATCATTGCCCAGACTTACGCGAGGCGTCGCTTCGTTTCGTCAGATGAAACGACGGTCTCTGGGCTTCCGACATGTCATCGTGCTTTCGATTTGTGCGAGCCATCATTTTGCCTCGCCAATCGAAACGTCGACCCCCAGGTTTCAGACATATCTTCGCGTGCTCCAAGTGCGTTGTCAGGTCATTTCGTCTTTCGAGAATCACACCTCTTGTTTTGAATTCCAGCGCTAGTATAAAAACCCTGCCTTCCTTCATTTTTCTTCACGCCTTCAAAATCCTTAAGTCCACGCTCCTCGAAAGTTCACTCTAAACTCCCTAGTTTTCTCAGCCTTCTCTCTCTGATTCTGAAACTCTCCTCTTGCTTAGTGACCTCTTTACTTGTCTTTAAACATTCTTGAGCCTTTCGTTGATTCCTGTGCTTCGTTCCTCCTCTACCCCTTTTCTCCTTCATTTTAACCTGCTCTAGTGGCCCCTATTGTAGCCCTTCCAAAACCGAGGAGCCATATCCGCTGAACCTTGCGACTTGGCAGTTTGGCCAGAACCAGATGGCTCTTCCTCTCCTGCTGTCCACCAATTGTCTTTCGTCTTGGAAAGTCGACGTGAGCCAGAACCAAAATGCGGCCAAGATTCCTTCCCAGCCCCGGAGGAAGATGACCTTCCTCCCTATGAGGCCGAGGAGAAACTGCAATGCGATTGATGAAGATGGGAGGGCCTGGTATGATGATTCCAACGTGGCCGTGTTCATTCGGCTGGGCACCCGGGTTGCACCCATGGCCGGAGTGACGGCCCTGGCTTCGCTTAGTTACGTTCATGCCCAGAATGACAGCCTTGGTCATGGCCTGAGTGACGGCCTTGGCTCCAACCCAGCTGCACCCATGTCCAAAGTGACGCCCCTTCCTCTGGCCGGAATGACGGCCCTGGGTTCACCTGGTCGTACCCGTGTCCTGAGTGCTGCCCCTTCCCCTGGCCGGAATGACAGCCCTGGGTTCAACTGGTCGTACCCGTGTCCTGAGTGCCGCCCCTTCCCCTGGCTGGAATGACGGCCCTGGGTTCACCTGGTCGCACCCATGTCCTGAGTGACGCCCCTGGTGGGGCCGTGGTTAGTGAAGGCATGGGTGGCAGAGATATTGCCTCAGGAAGAAACGTCTGCCTGTCCGGCGAGGGGACCACGAAGCTGATGTTCGCAGACTTAGGATTTAATCTTTTCTCATATGTATACCTATATGTTGTAATCGGCCATGACCTGGCCGTTCCTTTGTAAACGTGACCCCTTTTTAAACTAAATGAAGTATGATTTCTCTTTCCTTTTGTCTGAAAGCGTGCTTTTTCTTACATCTTCGTTGTGTTGTTTACTTCCAGTTGCAAAACCTCATAACCCATTCTCGGCCATCTCCCATAATGACAGGGTATACTTCTTTAAATACTGGCCGTTTATTGGTAGGCTGTGCCATTCTCCATCCCTATCCCTTAACTGGAATGCGCCTCGGCCCAGGATTCGTTCGATAATAAACGGCCCCTCCCAGTTATGTGAGAATTTGCCGAACGGAGGGTCCTTAGTCCCGATAGGAAGCACGGCTCGCCATACCAAGTCGCCTTCGGCGAAAGTCTTCTGCTTGACCTTTCTGTTATAGGCCCTTGCCGCGATTTGCTTCTGTGCCTGCATTAGGTTATAAGCATCGAGTCTGGATTGCTCCAAATCTTCCGACTCCTGAGCCATAGCTTGCGCATAGTCCTTCCTTTCTTCACCAGGCTGTTCGGTC